AGTTATAATGTGTACTTCCTTTTGTTATACGTGTCTTTTATAAAAATAATGAAAATTGTATTATCAAAAAGAAAATGGTAGAAGATCATTCATCTACAGCATAGAAAATTATTTTGCTTTTTATGTATTGCTTGTTTTGTGACTTTAAAAAAATTGTTTACCATATGAAAACAAGAATATGTAAATTAACATTTACCAGATTTACTGACCTAATTGTAAAAGCATAACCATAAGCACACCTGTTTTAAATTAATTTAATTTGATCTGTGCTCATATTTTCAATCAATCCCTGATTTATAAATTAGGCAAATAAATTCATAGTGAACCATAAAATAAAGAGAACAGCAATCACAGATGCTGAAAGACCAACCTAACTGAGCAGATCAGAAAAGTTGTGCTACCCCAAGTCACTGCTTCAACCCTTCAACGAGACCTAATTGTATTTTCTATTTTAATATGTTTGTTGGTTTTAACAGTATATACATTAGACAGTATGTGTAAAAAGAAACCTAATTGTATTTTATTTAGCATGCTACTATTATCCTGTTTTTCCACAGCACACTTCATGCAACTTTTTAAAACCCTTAAGTTTTTTTTATGTCGCATATAGCTATTATCCCCATGTTTTGCCATGGCACACATGGCAGATTCAGTTGTATTTTTTTTTTTTTTTTAATAACATGATTATATATACAGTATTCAGAAAAACATTTTGCACTGTTTCTGTTTTTAGTATTCATTTAATTTAATGAATATTACTTAAAATAGTTTTGACATATAGGGGTTTATTTACTAAAGCTGGAGAGTCCAAAATCAGACTCCCTTCTGCATAGAAACCAATCAGCTTCCAGGTTTCATTGCCAAAGCTTCATTGAACAAGCTGAGGTTAGAAGCTGATTGGTTTCTATGCAGAAGGGAGTCTGATTTTGGACTCTCCAGCTTTAGTAAATAAACCCCATAGAGACATGTGAAGGAGCACAAAATAACTGCCCTGAGCTTTAAATATGCCAGCTATGCTACAGCTGATGGATCAGGTATGTTGGTGAATAGGGATGAGCTATTTGGCTATGTGAGCTATAGTCCAAACACCAGATTTTTAGCTTGTTTGGTAGGAGCCAAACATTATATGTAGTTGTGGTATTTCTTTGCCCATATTTGGACAATAACACAGACCATATTACATTCAAAACATTACATGGGAGATCCCGTCTCTTTGTTTACTTTTAGCAGAGGAGCCTGGAAGATGTCATTAGGTGCTAGTCAGTGACAGGATAAAATCAGTCTGTTGGATGGTGGGATTGTTTTTCTTTCGGCGGGCATTGGGTGTCATCATGACTGATGTGGATCTGCACTGCTAGATAATGTAACTGATTATGGATGAACATCATGGGACTTTTTTTCTATAAAGACTTTTATTGACTATTTACTCTTTTGTGTAAATGAATAGGGGTACTATGTACTCCTTACTCATTCACATGGGGCATCCAATTCTGAGTGCCCACTTATTGTTACACAGGGCTTTAATTTGTGACAACATGGGGACAAGGTCCTTTACCAAAGGAGTCCCCCTTAACAAGGAACCCACTCCATGTTGCGGGCATGTGGCAGGGGCCACATGCTCATCCCTCCCATTTCCTGAACTGTCAAGCTGCATGATTGGATAAGGGTCTGGTATGAATTTTTTAGGGGGATTCCATACTTTGATTCTTTTTTTTTTAGTTTCCCCATTAAATCAATACTAAACCTAAAGGTTTTGTTGGTTTGTTTCTATTGCTTTAGCATGGGGTCTACCTTGACATCCATATCAGACACTAGTTGGGATAAGGGTCTTATATGTAAATTTAGGGAGACCCCTATGTCTTTTTTTGTGTTCCTAATAACATCTATTTAAAACCTCATTTAGTATAATGATCTGGTATAGATGAAGGGAATACAAAATACAAACAGAAATAAAGTGGTCAAAGCTACAATTTGCCAGCAATTTAAATTGTATTTTTTTTATTTGCAAATAGATTGCATACATCTTACATATACACTAGTTCACAGACAGGTTAAGGGCACACCCAGGCATGTTTATGAAAATTGCTGCTCCCCACCAAATTAGTTTTTTTGTTCACTTCTTTTCTTTGCTGCATATCCCCAAGCCCAACCCCCCCCCAGTCCATTTTCTTTGACAATCCCCTGCTAATTAGCCTAGAAAATAGTCATTAATTTTTAAGTAACATTAGATTTATGACTTCAACAGAGTTTGGATTTGACACCTGGAATTTAGTCATGTTCTTTGAACCTGCCTGTACATTCGACTCATACCTAGACGTAAAGGTTCATGGTTGATGGCTACACCAACCTCAACATGCATGACATATCCTGCCATGGTGATGTTGATCCAAAAACAGCATACTACATGCAAGAATGAGGTGTTGGCAGCATTATAAATTATATAGCTACAACAATGTTTGAAAGAAACACAGAAGCTTTTGGTACACAGGCTATCTCCCTGTCTACACTTCAAGTATTATACTTCAATTTAATTTGAGGTATATCTTTAAAATGAACGAGGATAAAAAAAGTGATAAAGTGAATATGATAGATTTAAAAAAATCATAACACATTATTGTAACACAACTTCCACAGGAGATGCTGGTTGTATTGGGTCCTCTATTCTTACCTTGACCTCCACCTTTGCACCTCTGACACCTCGGGTATACACGTCAAAAGACAAAGACTGATAACTTTTGGTTAGTATCTTAGGGTTACTATGATATGGACCTTTGCACCTCTGACAGCTCAGGTATACACCTCAATAGACAAAGACTGATAACTTTTAGTTAGTATCTTAGGGTCACCCTGAAATGAGATTTGAGACCTTGTAGTGGAATGACAAAATGTAATGAGAATATGAATACTCAAAAAGAACAGGATATTACAATGCAGAACATTTTTTGACATATACAGCTTCAAATATCAAACAATATACTAGGTGTGCCACCTTAAGTTCTGGTAAGGTCATCATAAACTGTAGCTTTTCCCACTGAAAATGAACAGTCTAAGGTGACAGTAAAACTAGTATCAGTAGAATAGTGGCTAAGTTGCCTAGAGTAACTTATGGTGAGGAGGCTAGGCCTGAGTTATAATTCAATGACTTCAAAGTATTAATAAACTCTTGGCTATGCAGGATAACAGATATTTTCATGTAGACCTTAAAGTAAGTCTTTAGCTGGCTACATTGGAGTTCTTAAAGGCGTTGGTGTGCTGCAGGAAATAGTTTCTGCGACAAGGTGTGCTACGGGAAACAGTTTTTGCAACAAGGAAACAGGTTGTAGAGCATTCATTTCTTATGAGCAATGAGTGGATAAATGTCCAGAAAGGGGTTACTTATCAGAGATATAATATCAGATATCTCTCGGATGTTCAGGGTTGCAGTTCTGAGCAGCAAGGCTGTTGCAGAATGCCAATGAATAATAGGTGGTGCCTTTAAGAGGGATAGTGCAATATGGGTTTCAATAGATAGTCATTATGTCCCAAAGGGTTACTGTTAGGAATGGACTGGCCAGCAATGGTGGGACTCACCTGCCTTTTGATCTGCAGGACCAGGGCTGGCCAGCGGGTGCTCCCAGCAATCAGAGACTCAACCTTTCAGCCAGCTAACACCTGAACTGATGATGCTGGGGTATTTAAGGGATGGCCAGACCCACAGACTCTGCCTTGGTTGTGTGTTTGTCCTGGGCCCTGTATCTGTCCTGCATCCTGTTTCTGTCCCTCTGCCTGACCCTCTGTACTACGCTGCTTGTTACCTGTTTTGATCTCTGGCTTGTGACCCTGACCATCCCTCTGCCTGACCCTCTGTACTACGCTGCTTGCTACCTGCTGAACCTGGCCTGTGACCCCGTCCATTCTCTGCTTGCTCCCCCTGTACTTACCTGCCCAATTGATATTGACCCGGCCTGCCTGACGACGCTTGCTTGTATGTACTGTTATCTGTGGGTGGTTTGGTTTGGTTTGTTTGCACTGTATTATGTTTAGTATTGCACTGCGTTTATGTTTGTATGGTTAGTGTTAATAAATTGTATTGTTTATCACATATCTGAAGTCTGCGTTTCCCTGCATCAGTCACACATCTCTGGTCATACCTGGGAGCCCTGACATTACACCAAGGCCAATCCTGACCAGAAGTGGCTGCACAGGGAAGCCATCTTGGCTTGTTGATGGGAAGGATGGATCTTGATGAGGTTGAATATTTATATCTGCTAGTGTTTGATGACAGGGAGTATGCTTATCAAACTCTGAAGGAGTATACCCGGGATGAACTGCTAGAATGTATACGGCTCGCTCATGTTCTAGTAGATCAGGGCACAGAGTTCTCTGAGGTGCAGCCATTGATTGAGGTTTGTGCTGAGTTGGTTTCATCTGGTACCCCGAATGCAGGGATGAATTTTTGCCACCATTTAGTGCAGACCAGGTAGAGTCCCTGGTGTGGTTATTAGAGGATGATGTGGGTTACTTTCTGGAGCGTTATTCCACATGTTCACCACAGACACTAAGAGATTGTATAAACGCAGTGCAGTCATTGACCAGACAGGCTTTGTGTAAGCTCAGCTTTGTTCAACCCATACTGCAGACATGGACAGATTTGTTGCACCCAGCCTCAGTCAGCTTACAAAGACCCAGTCCTGCTTCTAATCTATTTCCTCAAAACTCTATTCCTGCATTCCCTACAGCTCCTCCTGCCCTGCTATCTACCGCATGTCAGTACCGTGTTCCCACTCGCTGCACCTATCCTGCCTTTAACCCTGTAAAAGAGCCCTCTGTAGCAACTGCTCCCTCTCCTGTTCCATCCTCCAGTTCTTCTCTGTCTCCAGCTGCTCCATTCGTTTGCAGACCTGCGTTTACTTGCAGTGCTCCAGTAGTTAAAACCAGAAAAAAGCGAAAATTCTTTCCAACCAATACCATCCTGCCAGTATCCAAACCGGTGAGCCTGCCTTCCGTGGTTCAGCCTGAAGCCTCTACTCAGCCTGAAGCCTCTACTCAGCCTGATGCCTCTCTTCAGCCTGATGCCTCTCTTCAGCCTGATGCCGGTACGCAGCCTGATGCCTCTACTCGGCCTGAAGCCTCTACTCGGCCTGAAGCCTCTACTCGGCCTGAAGCCTCTACTCGGCCTGATGCCTCTACTCGGCCTGATGCCTCTACTCGGCCTGAAGCCTCGACTCAGCCGGACGCCGGCATTCAGCCTGATGCCTCTACCCAGCATGATGAACTGATCCAGCCTGACGATCCTATTAGGCCAGTTGACTCGATGCCCGCTGTTGATCCAGATGATCCGGTACCTGATCCGGTGCCCGCTGTCGAGCCAAATGACCTGATGCCTGGTGACCCAGTGCCCGCTGTCATACCTGGTGACCCGATGCCCGCTGTCGAGCCAGACAATCCGGTACCTGATGACCCGGTGCTCACTGTCGTGCCTGTTGACTCGGAGCCCACTGCCTTGCCAGATGACGCGGTGCCCGCTGTCGAGCCAAATGACCTGATGCTGGTGACCCAGTGCCCGCTGTCCAGCCAGACGATCCAATGTCTGACCCAGTGCCCGCGGTCATACCAGTTGACTCGGAGCCCACGGTTGTGCCTGGTGACTCGGTGCCCGCCGCCCCGCCTGGGGGCCTGAGACCTGTCGTTCCGCCTGGGGGTCCGGCGCCCGCCACTCCGCCTGAGGGTCCGAGACCTGTCGCTCCGCCTGGGGGTCCGGCGACCGCCGCTCCGCTTGAGGGCCCGAGACCTGTCGCTCCTCCTGGGGGTCCGGCGCCCGCCGCTCCGCCTGAGGGCCCGAGACCTGTCGCTCCGTCTGGGGGTCCGGCGCCCGCCGCTCCGCCTGAGGGCCCGAGACCTGTCGCTCCGCCTGGGGGTCCGGCGCCCGCCGCTCCGCCTGAGGGCCCGAGACCTGTCGCTCCATCTGGGGGTCTGGTGCCTGCCGCTCCGCCCGGGGGCCCGGTGCCTGCCGCCCCGCCCAGGGGCCCAGTCGCCCCGCCCAGGGGCCCAGTCGCCCCGCCCGGGGGCCCGGTGCCTGCTGCTCGCCCCGGGGGCCCGGTGCCTGCTGCTCCGCCCGGGGGCCGGTGCCTGCTGCTCCGCCCGGGGCCCGATGCATGTCGCCCCGCCCGGGGGCCCCGGTGCCTGCTGCCCCGCCCGGGGGCCCGATGCCTGTCGCCCTGCCCGGGGGCCCGGTGCCTGCCGCCCCGCCCGGGGGCCCGGTGCCTGCCGCCCCGCCCGGGGGCCCGGTGCCTGCCGCCCCGCCCGGGGGCCCGGTGCCTGCCACCCAGCCCGGGGGCCCGGTGCCTGCCGCTCCGCCCGGGGGCCCGGTGCCTGCCGCTCCGCCCGGGGGCCCGGTGCCTGCCGCTCTGCCCGGGGGCCGATGCATGCCGCCCCGCCCGGAGGCCCGATGCATGCCGCCCCGCCCGGAGGCCCGGTGCCTGCTACTCCGCCCGGGGGCCCGGTGCCTGCTGCTCCGCCCGGGGGCCCGGTGCCTGCTGCTCCGCCTGGTGGCCCGCTGCCTGCTGCTTCGCCTGGTAATCTGATGTGCCTCTGCCAGAGTCCTGCCCGATGTGCCTCTGCCCGGAGTCCTGCCCGATGTGCCTCTGCCCGGAGTCCTGCCCGATGTGCCTCTGCCCGGAGTCCTGCCCGATGTGCCTCTGCCGGGAGTCCTGCCCGATGTGCCTCTGCCCGGAGTCCTGCCCGATGTGCCTCTGCCCGATGTGCCTCTGCCCGATGTGCCTCTGCCCGGTGTGCCTCTGCCCGGTGTGCCTCTGCCCGGAGTCCAGCCCGTGTGTGCCTCTGCCCGGAGTCCAGCCCGGTGTGCCGCTGCCCGGAGTCCTGCCCGGTGTGCCAGTCTTTGATATCCCGCCAGTTACCAGACCCGGGCGGTGGAACATTTTGCCCAGCTAGGACTGTTTGGAGCGTCCTGAGGCCGCTCCTTGGGGGGGGGGGTACTGTTAGGAATGGACTGGCCAGCAATGGTGGGACTCACCTGCCTTTTGATCTGCAGTACCAGGGCTGGCCAGCGGGTGCTCCCAGCAATCAGAGACTCAACCTTTCAGCCAGCTAACACCTGGAACTGATGATGCTGGGGTATTTAAGGGATGGCCAGACCCACAGACTCTGCCTTGGTGTTGTGTTTGTCCTGGGCCCTGTATCTGTCCTGCATCCTGTTTCTGTCCCTCTGCCTGACCCTCTGTACTACGCTGCTTGTTACCTGTTTTGATCTCTGGCTTGTGACCCTGACCATCCCTCTGCCTGACCCTCTGTACTACGCTGCTTGCTACCTGCTGAACCTGGCCTGTGACCCCGACCATTCTCTGCTTGCTCCCCCTGTACTTACCTGCCCAATTGATATTGACCCGGCCTGCCTGACGACGCTTGCTTGTATGTACTGTTATCTGTGAGTGGTTTGGTTTGGTTTGTTTGCACTGTATTATGTTTAGTATTGCACTGCGTTTATGTTTGTATGGTTAGTGTTAATAAATTGTATTGTTTATCACATATCTGAAGTCTGCGTTTCCCTGCATCAGTCACACATCTCTCTGGTCATACCTGGGAGCCCTGACAGTTACTATCCCACTCGCCAACTCCACAGCATTTGTAGTAGCAGGTCTCCTTCAGTAATGAATGGAGTCCCTTTTTAAGATGAGAACAATTCCAGGTGGATGTCTGCAGCAATCAGATAGCAGTACCTCCACAATGCAGCAACAACATTTATGCAGGCCATACACAGGTCAAATTCTGAATTAAACTTTCCTTGGAAAATTGAACGTTTTTGTAATCCAATGTTGCCACCATTGAGTTTGAAATTTGACTATCCAAGCCTAATTTCACCTGATGTTACTAAAGAAAAGAATTTGTGGTTGGGAATCTTTTTTTTCCAGGTCACAGCTCATGGCGATTTCATTTTCAGTTATAATTTTCTCACACGATTCTCTCATCATTGATTAGCTCATTTTTAAAAAATTTCCAACATGCCCTATCACTCAAATGCAATGGCCGCGCAAAAATAGACCAATGTTGCGGCCCACTAACTGTGAGAAATTCAAACTAATTCGAGCCATGTATGGCCTGAATTAGCTAGGCTTGGCAATGTCACAGTAGAAATCAGTGGGTATAGATCTCTGGTGGCTTCATTTCTAGGCCTCAAGATGATGCCCGGCTCCAGCAGACAGTGACACAGTCACAGACTGGACTTGACAGATTGCGGCAGCTTTCTCAGTTCTACGGAACTGACAGACACTGTCTCTACTGTAATGCAGTCTTTCTCTGTATATTCCTCTCTGTCTCTCACCCAGAAATGACCTTCTCTTCTGCACACTTCAGTGTCTCTCTCCCAGACTACCTTGTGCTTTCCCAGGTTTTCCATTTTATATGACCCTCCATTAGTTAGAGCATTCTGGATGTTGTAGTTTCCTGTGTCTGAAAAATAATGGAACTACATTTTCCATCATGCAGTTTGCTTTTTTTAAAGGTGAATCAGAGTCTGTTTACTAAAGCTGGAAAGTGCAAAATAAAGCTCACTTCTGTATAGAAACCAATCAGCTTATAACCTCAGCTTGTTCAATTAATCATTGTCAATAAAACCTGGAAGCTAATTGGTTTCTATGCAGAAGTGAGCCTAATTTTGCACTTGCCAGCTTTGGTAGATAAACCCAGATGAGTCTTGTTACATTGTGCTGTTTGTAATGTGAGGACAATAGCTATGGTATCTAGCTAGTTAAATGTAGCCCTACATTAATCACTGAATAAGACCAAAGTCAAATAAAAGCTACTGTATGTTGGCTAAGCTTATTATAAAGTTTATTTTCAATTCATTCCATTATAAAGCTACATCCTATCATTTTATAGCTTGTTGTTGTGAATTGGCTCATATTGTCCAATCTGCAATATTATACAAATATTTGTATAAATCAAAGAATTGTATTATATTAAAATGTCATATTATATTTTAGGCTTCTTGTTGTTAAAAACAATACAGTTTTAATATCATCTCTTTCATGCATTGAATTAAGCTGTTATGCTAATATACATGAAAATAATGTATACATATTTATCTTGTTTACGTGCAAAGGAAATATATTGGCAAGCATTCATTTCGTTATATTAATGCAAATTCTATTCTTATTTGGGAACAAAACTTCCAAAGGAAATATTAATAGTCATATAACTCAGCTGGGTTTCAATTGGGGTGTGATTTAAAATCATTAATATGCACTAGGGTACAAATGAAGCATATGAAGAATCTAATTTATCTTCTCTTTAAAGTAAAATCACATAAGACATTCTTAATCAAATGCACACTACCACTTTGTTTTGCATGTACTGTACATTATGTTTATATTACATGCTGTATATTATATCTTGCTGCAGATACATATAAATTTGCTTTTATCTGTTAATTTAATGACTGCTAACATAAAAAATTTAATAATATATTAAACCAAAAAATCAGAAGAGGTTAAGCTGTTAGACATAAAGCAGAACTTCCCCCAAAGAGAACAAAACACAATCAAATAGTCCATTAAAAAAATTAAAGTTTTGCTGCAATATTAACATTCAATGCAGAGATGACTCCTCCAATACTTTTTTTGCCTCTAAGGTCTAGATATCCTGGATCTGATGGCCAGTATTGTCACAATCATGCACACAGAGATTTTGCTCCTAAACCTCTGAATTTTGGTATTTTTCTCAAACTCCGAATCAGGCTCCCTCCTACGATTTCCCCCCTCCCTCAGGAATGCGTTCAGTGTACCTTGCTAAGAGGCTGTTTATGTCATCCTTTTCCCAAATAAGGCAATAAGCTTGCTGTTGTAAGAAGATACCAATTGATTTTTGGGTAGAAAAGAAACTGTTAGTTCTTGTGTGAGCAGTTAGACAAGTGAGGACGTTGGCTCTGTACCATCGAGCTGACCGAGAGTCTTGTTGTACCATCGCAACTGAGTGCAAGACCAGAAATCCTTTTGAGCTCATCAGAATTGAAACTGCTTAACTCCAGGCACTTATTTGGCAAATACTTACTTACCTAAACTTCTTTCTGTTATCTGTTGCTGTGCTGTATTGCTCTGTATATTTATATATATATATCTTAGTTACATCTTCTCTGTAAATATTTTACTGCACCTGTTTGACACTTTTAGTAATAAATATTTCTTCTGAAACTGTTGAACTGTTTCTATATCTCTTAATTGCAATTTACGAATCCCTGCCTTTATAGAGACGCTACTGTTTGTTTAACTCTCTATATAACCGGCCTGTGTCAATGACCGGGTTATGCGGACGATTATTTCAATTATTATAGTGTTATAGCGATATTGCGAGTTTCCTCTTTCTCTGTACAAAAGGAGGTGGTGGCAGTGTGAAGGGGTTAATTGCGTAATTAACCTGACCCAGTAACAAGCGCATTCAGGCTGCCGGTACATAGATTGTTGTCCATTAGCTGAAAAATCGTTGTGCGGGATGCAGCTGGGTGTGGCATTATTACGCACGTGACAGCGCGGTTTTAGATTGGCTAGTCTTTCGGTCACGAGTTTGGTGAGAAGGGCTGGGGTCTGACACCACGACCGTCACAAGTATCATTCAACCACTTGATCTGAGCCCAGGTTGTCCTTGACTTGCCCCAGCTTGTTGCTGTGGATCAAAAGATAGGAGCACCACACTGGAAAGTAGAAACAAGGTGTTTTTTTTCCAAACCTATAGTAAACCTAATAGCCAATGTGTTTCAGGGGTCTCACTTTGCCTCCTTCATCAGAGCTAAAAGAATAGCTATTGGGGAATGTGAGTTGCAAATGAACTCTGGATGTTAGCATATTAAGAAACATTGACCCCCTACAGCAGCTAATAAACACAGCTTGTTGCTGGACAGGGAAAGAAGAAGCAGTACGGTGATTAGCTAATTTCTCTGTCAGTCTTCTTTCTCTGCCTATTAGCATGCTCCGTGA